TTTCCTGCTCAGACTGGTCATGTGAGTGCCCTGGAAGTGTGTGAGAACACCACCCTGCTGTTCAAACCAAAAGAAAAGAAAAAAGTAAAGACTCTGGATTGTTCGCTTTATTTACAACATGGAGTAGGGACGTACCCATTTCCTTTGAAGCAGATGTCACCCTCTTTGCATTTGTCTTTGAAAACAGATCCTGGCCAATCTAAGCAACTCCAACTTTGTGAATCATAGATATATTTTTTTTATAAAAAAGTTTTTATTTTTAGACAAACATAAAACAAACGGACATAAAAACACACAAAATAAAAACCCTTCTCCAATTACTTACAGTGTGTCAATTAGTTACAAAGCTTTTGTGCTTTCTTACAATAGTCTTCATTTGCAATTTACATTAAAACATATTATCATTCTAATATATATATATATGTATGTATGTATGTATGTATGTATGTATACAATTGTCATGGTTATTAAACATTCATTTGACTATAGCTATTATTACATCCTTTTTATATAAAATATTCTAAATTTAAAATAAATTTATATTATGGTATTTCATTACATCGTCCTGAAATCATCCAATAGTATTACATTTTTATATTCTATTCTATATATAATTATTTATCTTTTATAACAAAGCTTTTCAACATCCTCTCCATTGTCCTCACTTACAATTTATATAAAATTTCATATTATCAATCTACTGTATATATATGCATTATTATCATTATTAATCATTTATTTAGCTATGACTATTATTAATTTATTTTGTACATAATATTCTAAATTTAACTAAGTTTAACTTAATTTTTATTTTAACATTTCATCATCCTGTAGCCTTCCGGTAGTAGTGCAGTCCTATATCTCTTGCCATTTGTGGTATTTGTATTCTAATTGTTTTCTTGATAAGTCTTACGTGGACTTCTCTTGGCACCTTGTTGTTCCTTGTGTATCTTGTAAGGACTCGAAACCCTCCATTTGTTCTTTCCATCCGCTTGCCTTTAGTTATCACCGGTGCTTCTGCCAGAATTTCTCTCATTGTTGCGAAATTTTCTCCCTTTTCTTCTTCCATGTTTTGAGATTTGAGATAGGGTCCCAGTTCGTTAATCTCTCCTTTCAATATTCCACTCCTGTCGTTTCCAACCACGCTCGATTTACTGACAATATCAACAATTTTCTTATCACTTTGTTCATATTTTTCTTCAATTTTTTGAACTCTATCCTCAAATTTCATCATTTTATAAATGTTCTCAACTCTTCCCTCTATTTTTTCTCTTTTTGTTCTATGTTCTCCATCCTCTTTTCAATGTTTTTGTACTTATTTGTATTTTTGAATTTCTAACATAATCATTTGTAATGTTAATTCTTTTTATTCCTCATGTTGCGCCATTCT